GAGGCAGGGTAGTTAGACAGGACACTGGCAAGCTTTCCCAGGAAACGAAGAACCTAATTAAGAAGCGTCAAACCATGAAAGTGTCAAGTACAACAGACAAAATAGCAAACTCGCAGAGCTTTCGAAGTTGATTAATAGAAGTAAAGTATGCGATGTAAGAAGGTATAACATGGAGAGAATTGAACACGCTCTGAAAAACGGATTAAGCGTCAAAGCAGTGAAAAGGAAACTTGGGATAGGCAAAAGTCGGATGTTTGCACTAAGGGACAAAGAAGTCAAAATAACTATCAATATGGATAGGAGAGTTAAAATAGCGGAGGAGTTTTACAGAGATCTGTGCAGTAGCCGAGACAACCACGACCTTAATACCATAAGAACTAGCAGTAACCCAGATGACACCCCACCAGTAATGATAGAAGACAAAAGCTTTGGAGAGCATGCAAAGAGGCAAAGCTGCTGGTGAGGACCAGGTAACATCAGATCTGCTGAAAGATGGAGGACAGATTGTGTTAGAAAAACTAGCCACCCTGTTTACGAGGTGTCTCCTGACGGGAAGGTAACCAGAGTCTTGGAAGAACCCTAACATCATCTTAATACATAAGGAAGGAGATGACAAGGACTTGAAGAATTACAGGCCGATCAGCTTGCTCTCTGTAGTATACAAGCTATTTACAAAGGTAAGTGCTAACAGAGTAAAGAAAACATTAGAATTCAATCAACCAAAGAAACAAGCAGGATTTCGAACAGGCTACTCAACAATTGACCACATTCATAGTATCAATCAGGTAATAGAGAAATGCTCAGAATATGACCAACCACTATACATAGCCTTCATAGATTACGACAGGGCGTTTGATTCAGTAGAAATATCAGCCGTCATGCAGACACTGCGGAATCAGGGCGTAGATAAAGTATATATAAACATACTGGAAGAAATCTACAGGGGATCAACTGCTACCATAGTGCTTCATAAAGAAAGCAACAGAATACCAATCAACAAGGGTGTAGGGCAGGGGAACACAATCTCCTCAATGCTATTTACCGCGTGCTCACAGGAGGTTTTCAGAAACCTAGAATGGGAACAGCTAGGGATAAGAGTTAATGGAGAATACCTTAGTAAGCTGCGCTTCGCTGATGACATTGCATTGCTGAGTAACTCGGGGGACGAATTGCAACTCATGATTACGGAGTTAGACAAGGAGAGCAGAAAGGTGGGTCTTAAAATTAATCTGCAGAAAACGAAAGTAATGTACAACAACCTCGGAAAGGAGCAGCGCTTCGAGATAGGTAATAGTGCACTTTAAGTTGTAAAAGACTATGTCTACTTTGGGCACGTAATAACCGCAGAGCCTAATCACGAGATTGAAGTAACTAGAAGAATAAGAATGGGGTGGAGCACATTCGGCAAGCACTCTCAAATTATGACAGGTAGATTGCCACTATCCCTCAAGAGGAAGGTACATAACAGCTGTATCTTGCCGGTACTTAGCTACGGAGCAGAAACCTGGAGACTTACAAAGAGGGTTCAGCTTAAATTGAGGACGACGCAGCGAGCAATGGAAAGAAAATTGGTAGGTGTAACCTTAAGAGACAAGAAAAGAGCAGAGTGGATAAGGGGACAAACGGGGGTTGAGGATATCATAGTTGAAATAAAGAAGAGGAAATGGACATGGGCCGGGCATGTAGCGCGTAGACAGGATAACCGCTGGTCATTAAGGGTAACTAACTGGATTCCCAGAGAAGGGAAGCGGGTTAGGGGGAGACAGAAGGTTAGGTGGGCAGATGAGATTAAGAAGTCTACGGGTATAAATTGGCAGCAGCAAGCACAGGACCGGGTTAACTGGCGGAACATGGGAGAGGCCTTTGTCCTGCAGTGGACGTAGTCAGGCTGATGATGATGATGATGATGATGATGATGATGCCAGGGGCCTAAACCTGCGTGCGAAGCGAGCACCATACAGTAATGCTTGCATTTGTTTGCTTTTCGAAATTAATAATATATTTTTAATTTAAGAAACACAGCGAGCAGATTTTTGGAAACGGTGAGATTGATTTTTTAGGAAAAAAATGGCGCGCTTGAGCAGAAAATTAGATGATTGATATGTGGAGTTTAACGTCCCAAAACCACCATATGATTATGACACAGGCCGTAGTGGAGGGCTCCAAAAATTTCGACCACCTGGGGTTTTTGAACGTGCACCCAAATCTGAACACACGGGCCTATAAAATTTCCGCCCCCGTAGCAAATGCGGCCGCCACAGCCGGGACTCGATCTTGCGACTTGCGGGTCAGCAGCCGAGTACCTTAGCCGCTAGACCAGCACGGTGGGGGAGGAAAAGCTTTGTGATAGGATGTGCAACGCAAATGGCAAAAAAGCATGTCCTAAATTTTGGTGAATACACTGTCGGTGTGACAGTTTTTCTTCTTCTGAAGGGAAGAAATTTATTAAAGTGCTCCCGTTATTTTGTTTGCGGAAAAGAAGACATCGACAGGTCACCCATATGGCAAAGAAACCATGCCCTAAATTTTCATTAATACAGGGTCGGTATCTTAGCCACGTTCACGAGCACGTATGAGGCGGACGTGTCACGTTCGTAAATAAAAGTGGGTGAAACACACTCCGTTTTTTGCAGTCCGCTGCAAAAAACGCACAAACACGCCTGTTTCAGAGACAGAACTTTGAACTGGGAATTGTTTTTATTTTTATTTATTCACTTAATTATTTGTTTATTTACTTGTTTGTTTGACATTGCTTGATTGCCGTGGTGCAGGAGATGAAAGGCGACATTATGAGTCACCTGCCTAGGTCTCTGACAAAACCGCTGTCAACGCAAAGCACGAAGAACCACTTTCACCGTAGGCGCTGATCTGTACGGTGTTACAGTACACGACGTTTAGCGCAACTATCATCAACGTTATATAAGCAACCAAAATATCGACCATGTGCGGATCGCGGTTTAGGAAAATGGTCATTGCTCTTACGTACAATTTTGAATCGCAATTTTGCGTTAATTCAGCTGGTCATTCTGAAGGCTGGGAGGTGACTGGTGTTAATTTCAAGGTGCCTTTTATATTGAGATCCACTTGCATCGATACTATCACTCACACACATCTTCTTTTCTCAGTGATTGCACATGCGGAGAACGACTTCATTGATAACGCACCTCTGTCTTTGTGCCCATAAGCTCGATGAACACAGAACACTTAAAGAATGCGCACTCATGCTCGTTCACACAGCTTCGACGCGAGCTGGCAGCAACAGAGTGACGCCATCGTGTTTTGCTGGGACGGGAAAAGGTAAAATGACACCATAAAACTAGAAACAGCCAAAACACAATAATGCCACACAGCATAAGTTTTCCTAATAACAATGCGAATGATCTTGCGCATAATAAACATGCTTGTTTCTATGTTTTGCCTTTACTACGTACTATATAAACGCTAGAATTCGCGGACTACATGCTGAAGCGTAGCAATGAAGTGCTTGCTTTGGCTTCGTAGCCTTGGTTGTGCTGTCACGAAAAAAAAAAAACGGTTTCAATGTTGCAAGCATCGTACCCCCAAAAAACTTGCGGTCACCTCATTTACCAGCTCCTAATATTGAAAGTGAAAGCACGTTTCAAGTTCTCTTCAAGGATAAGCAAAAGCTGTCGCTTTCGTTTTTCACATGAAAGGATCGTACGTAAAGTACAAGAGAATGTATTGTATTTTATTTAGCACAAAAGAACATTTACTTTGAATATATTTTGCCAAATAAGAGAAGAAAACTATAGAAAATGAGCGCGATATTTTTCTAAAGATATTGCTGTCCGCCGATGCTATTAAGGCACACCGGTGGAACCGAACCAGATGTCATCAAGAGCCTGTGATTGTAACAATGAAATGGTCTTGCAACTTATTAGTACTGTGCATAGCTGCAGTCACATTTGTACGGGCATGAGACTAGGGATGTCATAGGACAAAAAACTGCGTAGAGACATTCCTTGTTGAACGTAATACCCCAAATCTTGGGGCGCACTCCCGAGGGGTGAATGGCAATCGTGGCATTCAGTTTGAAGTTCGAACTTTTCCCGTGGCCCCGAGAGTTGCAATTTAGTGCGGGCGTCATGTTGAGAACCCGTTGTATGCATTGTACTTGTTCTCTCGAAATTGTCACTGATGGCGAAGCGTCCTATAAGGGGCCCCTAAACCACCAGAAGGTATAAATTTAGTTGTGGCGTTGTAGTTATGCCCGAGCCTACAGCGAACGCATACGTCAGCTCCTCTGTACACTTCTCCGAATGCTCTTGCTCAGTGTACCCGACGAAAACGTAAGAGACGCACACATGACCCGCCGGGGCGGTATAGTGGCCAAAATGCTCGGCTGCTGACCCGCAGGTCACCGGATCGAGTCCCGGCTGCAGCGGCTGTATTTTCGATGGAGGCGAAAGTGCTGTAGATCTGTGTGCTCAGATTTGGGTGCACCTTAAACAACCCCAGGTGATCGAAATTTCCAGAACCCTCTAGTACGGCGTCTCTAATAAATATGGTGGTTTGGGGACGTTGAACCCCCCATATCGATTAATCTATCAAAGACGCACGCATCTGCTAGCCGAAGACGATGCGAACGCGAGCATCTGTTAGTGGTTCACGGGCCTGGCGTTTTGTTGTTTGCCTATGAAAACCAAACCATCCCGAGGTCCAGCTTCACTGGGACAAATTGGCCCAATATCTGCGCGCTTCACTGCAAATGTCGTCGAAACACGATAGCCTTCGGCCAGCCTGGGTGGCACCTTTTGGACACGCTCTCAATGAACCCGATATCTACTCCATTACCTGATTCCTCTGTTTCGTAGCTGTGGCGGCAAAAACTTAGAGTCGAGCCTCTTCCTCGCAACATGGATCCCAGTCAACACACAGGCAGACGCTTAGCCTGAACACAATTTCTCCACAGTTGATGTTCCAACACTCCTGGCGTGTTCTATGTAGATGTATCAACACTCCTGACGTGTTCTATGTAGATGTCCCAACTTACTCGGGACCCTTTACGGCCACACTGATTCCTGAGGGTCACCACATCGACGGCCTTTCGTTCCGGTCACCTGATGTAACTCAGTCACCTGATGCACCTGATGCCATTGCTTTGGCTGCCTCTCTCCGCTCACCAAGAGTGATCATCACTAACTTGCGCTTCATCTGTTCCTGATACCTGCATGGTAGCATAGCTCTTATGTCCGCCGGCCTTCTCCAGGCCGTCGGCACTCTCTAGTAAACTTTTTCTGAAATAAATGTTTTTTACCACCACCACCACCATCTCCAGGCGGCCTTATGGTGCTTTGAACCTCACTTCATTCGCATAGTTTGGTCTCCTGGCCTGGCGGGTCTTCTCGGTAACGGAGCGGCTCATACCACTGCCTGAATTTCTCTCTCATAGGCCGTTACCTCTTTCGACGCCGCGACTCTCCCAGGCACGTCAGCTCTTACGCAGTACGAAGAAATCTTTGATTACTATCGAACATCGGGCAGTCCTTTACCTAGAATATGTACGGGGTGTCTCTAAAGCGGACGAAGCGACTTCTGAAACGCTTGCAGATGAACACCATTTTGTGTCCAGCGCCACCCTGCAATGCCGGGTATACGCGGCTACTGGCGCAATTGTGGGTTGCTGGCTGACTCCCACCACATGATTGTGCATTGCTCTGCCATACCTCTTCCTTTTTCATCCCCCTTCCCTAACCACAAGTCAGGATTGGGAGGAGTTCCTGCTCGGCGGCTCCACCCAGGACACTCAGCGCTTCTTGTTGGCCCAGGCCCGAGTGGTGATGATCGCCAGTAGGCTTCTAGAATAAGGACATCACTAACGGGCATTTTAGTGGCACTACTCCAAGGAATTTTCTCAATAATTGGTTTAGGAGTGAAGCTCCTTAAGGTATGGGTCATGCGTCTCCTGTATGTAGTATCCACGTCTCGTTTCAGTCCTTGGAATGTTCGCTGGATGGCAGTAGTTGTATATGATGAATATATGATGAAAAGATGCGAGATGGCGGTACTTGGAGTATTCAATAGGTTGTCGGACGGATGGACTCACATGCGGACAGACAGAAGGATGGCCATACATACATACATACATACATACATACATACATACATACATACATACATACATACATACATACATACATACATACATACATACATACACACACACATACATACATACATACATACATACATACATACATACATACATACATACATACATACATACATACATACATTCATACATACATACATACAGACGGACGGAGTGGCCGACATACAGACGGACAGACAGAAGGACGGACAGTCGTGGCTAGCGGATGATTCACGGTTTGCCGATAACACCTTTCGGAGCTTGGCCCCCACTCATCATCATTCACTCCCTGGATATGCTGTGATTTTTTCCACCACTACATCTGCCAGTCATCTTTTTCTTGCATAATTGATTGATATGTGGCGTTTGAACGTCCCAAAACCAACATATGATTATGAGGGACGCTCTTTTTCTTGCATAGCGTCCTGTTTGCAGCGGAGCGTAAGAAAGACTAAGGTCTTTAGTAATATGTATCTTTGTATTTAGTAGGAAAGGAACACACCACTCAATACTCGTGTAATAATGTTGCGCCTCAGATATGCCTAGTATTTGCTTTTTGATAGATGAGAGAGAGAGAGAATTTATTTACAGAAAGGTAGAGAGGTCGGCCTAAGCTATAGTTTGCTCTGGCCTGCTACTCCACACTGGGGAAGGGTGACTGGGGAGTGAAAGAGTGATGAATGACGATGGTAAGGTAGATAGATGATATGTTCTTATTAGGCTGGGTAACTCTACAGATGTGCATCCAGTCCAGTGGTTTCTAAGGAAGCGATGATGGCTCGTATAACCACATGTGTGCTGCTGGTGTCAGGCCAAGGGCCTAACACAACCTCATCGGTTAATGGTCGACTAATATATCGGCCAATCGAAGATATCAGTTGCTGACGTTCGCTTGCATATGCTGGACAGTCGCAAAATATATGTTCGAGCGTTTCTGGCAACCGACAGTGACCACAATTGGGACCTGTGTCATTACAGCCAATCAAGTGGGTGTAACGTCTCGTGTAAGCCACACCGACGCGAATGCGGTGGATAATGCATGAGATGCTTCGCTTTAACTTGTGAGGCATACGGAACTTCATTTCCGGGTCCCATTTGTGCAGCCGCTTGTGCTGGTGTTCTGGTTTCTGCCAGTGCTATAAGATGGAGTTGCGCATTACGCGTTTAAGTAGGATGTAAGTGTCTTGACGAGAAAATGCGATGCACACTTCCGGGGCACTATTTAAAGCTCTCTTAGCTTCAGCGTCCGCCGCTTCATTGCCCATTATGCCGCAATGAGCAGGTATCCATTGAAATGTCACATCATGTCCATTTTTTGTAACAATGCCAAGAAGCTCTGCTATTTCAATCGTATGATATGGACCTTGTCTCATGAAGCAATCGACGGTTTGAAGAGCAGCTTTGGCATCGCACAGTATTGTCCATTTACGAGCGAGTTCTGTCGACATGAATCGTATTGCCTCCCAAATAGCAACAAGTTCCACAGCTGTTGATGTGGTCTTGTGATCTATCTTGAAACGTCGAGCTATCTTCATCTGCGGGATGACAATAGCTGCGGCGGAGGTACGCGACGTGGTAGATCCATAAGTATATACGTGTGCCACACCGTCGTACATAGTATAAATGCGCTGCAGTGTAAGTTGCTTTAGGCCGATCGATGATACAAGGGACTTCTTCATAATCCCAGGAATCTGAAGTATGACAAGTGGTCTAGGCAGGAGCCACGGAGGTGTCTTTTTGATAGATGATTTTCACAAGTATGAATGCAGTCGTCAGTTCAAGATTGTGGAGCGTTCAAAGTGCTTTTGAATTTTGGCCATGAGACTGTGCCGGGAGACAGACAGGTACATAGAGAGGACAGACATGCATACCAAAATGCCTGCGTTCAAGTATCCCACTGAAAGCTTATCGTTTTTATAACCTGGCCACCTGACTTCAAACCCCCTGTATCCGGCGATATTATAGGCATAATAATAAATGGACGCTCGAAAGACATCTTGAATAGCTTGCTCCGCACGTATTCAATCCTGGCATGCAGAGAAATGCGGTGGCTACTGGAAAGCAGCTGTGGCCCGGAGGTGTGATTCCCTACACTGTGGATATGTTTTTCAGTAAGTGAAAAGAGTACTGATACTATAAACTGGGAGCAGTACACGTCAATACATTTTAGCTGAATAAAAGGGCACCTACACCGCGTGTCAATTTTCTGCCATAGACTAAGGCGTATGTCAGAATGGCCATGGATAGTTTCTCGTGCTTGGCGTATCCGCAATGCAGCTGTGCAAGGCACAGCAGATTGAAAAAATTTTGTGCGATCGTGAGTTCCCTTCACAACCGAATAATGAACCCTGCGTCAGAAAAAAAAAACCAAGAAAGAAAGCAAAATAAAATCACTAGAAAAAACAATATATATTATTGTGGAAGAGTTCGTTAGTTCACTAATACATTTATTTTTACCATAACTTAACGACTTGGAACAAGGTACGTGGGTAGATATGACACAAAACAGTTGCACCTAGTTGGATGGGTGCATTATAATAGTGGGTGGAGATCTATACAGTGACCACATGAATCGTAAAGCAAAACAGTTTTCTTTGACTAACATATTACATACAATGACATGGTGACTACCGCATTTCTTCCCTCAGGCTATTTGGTCCATTGAAGATTCACTCGTTGCCCGAATAAATTGTAAAACACAATACTGAATCAACAGATAGTAACAATATGACGTAAATGTTCGGATTGTTACAATTGAGATTCATGCACAAAGAATAGGATGACAAGAGAAGCTAAATGCATTTGCTGCATAGGAACCAATAGAGCGAAAAAAAAAACAAAGCTTGATGACCACTGTCGTGAGTACACGGGGACGAACATATCATCACCCATTATTCGGATCGTGGTATGTGTTCAGCTATATCATTATCCAGATAGCTCATGCGCTCGCACTTTTCTGAAAAAAAAAAACAAAGTGACTTCTGGCATATTTCCGCAGCCTTGAGCGTATGTACTGCACTGGTCATTGAGGCTGTTAAATTTGAATAACTGCTGGCACAAACAATTCTCGTACAATTTGTCTCTGCATGAAGAAGAATTATGGTTATAAATCTTGCGTGCATCATATTTTCAGGACAGGAAGGAAAGATGAATCATGTCAGACAGTGGATGAACACGGTGGAGTACCTGACCTGCCTGCGATTTGTTGAGCGCACGTGGGAGGAACACTATATCCACATTTACTCCGGTATCGGGTGAGTTTCTAACTTAACTCCTAACCAGGAGGCGTAGATGTGGCTTCCCTAGAACAACTCAAGCGTAGTAAAATATACTCGAGTCGAACATCCAAGACAATTTCAGGAAGGCCTTCAATACTAGGCCAGCAAATAAACTAGCTCTTCCTCGAGTGCTTTTAGCAACTCGCCCAGCAACTCAAATAGAGCAACTCAAAATGCCACAACAGTGCTTTTAGACTAGAAGCCAAACTGGTAAACATTGCCCGTCAAGAGGTGAGAGGTATTTCGATGCTTGACCTGCTCAACGCATGCCTAGTGCTTTTTTACGCAAAAACAGGTCACTTCCAATAATCCCTGAATACGCAATACCTGGTTATTACAGACAGGTGAGGCAGTTATTTTCTGTCAATATTTCCTCAGCAATATGACGGCTACTTATATCCCCCCTCCAACATTTTCGAAAGACCCTCACGGTGCAGCCTTTTTTTTTTCGTAAACCTCTTTTTATAACATTTTTATGGTACTTGGTTGCACTATGATAGCACCACACCACAGCTCAGTGAGAGGACAGGGGCGAATGCGCGAGCTACGTTACTGCAAAGCCTTTCAGCTGACCAATCAAAATGATCTCTCTGGCTTATGCACCAATCGATGGCTTCTATCATTCTGACTTCACCTTCCTTGCCATGCCAGTCACACAAATTATGATAGGTAGACCACAGAAATTTTTGTTAAAAAAAGAGTTTAACTCTTGTGCTCTGCGAAGGGGATACGATGCTAGCCGAGTGTGCCAGTCATACCTAAAACTTGTTATAAGTAGCATGAAAGGTGTTCATGTTTCTCTTCGCGAATGATAACTTAAATTCTGCGCGTGTTTTGAACATATAAGCAAAAGGGACAGAAATTTATGGGATCAGCTGACTTTAACAAAGCGTTAGAGGGTCATGTTCCCCGTCAGTTACAACAGTGACAATAAAAAAAATAGTTTATGGTCAAGGGAAAGATGTTGCGAAGACAGAGAAAAACATGACTGCGCGCGTTATTTTGATTCTGTTTCATTAAACCTAGAATTTAGTTTTTTAAAGAAATGTCAAACTTCTATAATACTCAGACGAAGATCAGTGAAACGCTGCATAGGCATGCTAACTGCACCCGGCATATATCCTTTGAGCAAAGTAGCTCAACTTGGTGGAAAGCGGTGAAGAAAGTTGGCCAACCATGGGCAGCCAGCGAGCATGAAATATGTGTGGCTTGCGTGACAAGTGCCATTCCGTGAAGTGACTCGTACATATGTTGCATCGATGCAGGCAACTGTGGGACTTGCTGCACTTTTATGGCCAGTTATACCTTGAGCATGACACGCAACAGAATAAAGTAGTGAAGGAGAATAACGTGGCAGCTGAGTTGTAGGAAATTTTATCCCATTAATCTCTAGTGTACTCCAGAAAGCACAGTTCCTTTTTGGGTATAGATATTACAGAAAAAAATATTATGATCTTGCTCATTAAAATTGCGAACGGTAAACGTTGGAGCGAGATAATCTTGACAGGACGTTTGGACTCAGTCCTATTTTATTCTGTTCTATGAGTCGTTAAACTTGAGAAAAATGAGTGCCGGTCAAACAAACGTGATCAGTGCTCCTTTTTTAAAATTGAATTGAGGTTGTACAATTTATATGCTACACAGACAAATTGCTTGTGTTTCAGCATGAACAAAATAACCTAAGCCAAGCGCAAGAAGCCTATAGGGTGCATAGTTTTGCTTTGCCGTGAAATCTAATGCCGGTGTACTTTATATAATACAAAGGAACTTCATGGGAGAATGCATGTGGCTAGTTATGAGCGTTGCCTCAGAGGTTGAAGCAGCTGTTTTCTTTAAAAATACCGCTTTTTTGTTTTTTGCGACTCATGTGGCTGCGACAGATGTCGCTGTGGATATACGAGAGTGCATTGATGATGTTTTACTGATTGCTTCTGAGCCCATTTTAAAAACTTAGCAGAAGGAGCAGAATGATGAAGGTACGATAGGATGCTCTTTGCCAACAAGAAATAATCATAGGACAAAACGAATGCGGGGATCTTACTTTCTGTTTTGAGCCAAGAAACAACTTTTGTTTCACAAAGCAAAAGGAAACATCATAGTTGCTGTACTGAGGAACGACGACAGAGTGTAGTCGTCCTGCTTTGTAACCTATAGACCATCTACTGAGAATTGAAAAAAAAAAAACTTGGTGTAACTACCTAGGCTCTTCAGCAGATGTAACAATGACATAAAAGCATAGCTCGGCATACTCACTCAAGAGTACACTCACTCACACTCATTCATACTCATTTGAATGTGGTGAGTGTGAGTATGAGTGAGTACTGATAAGTATGAGTAGGAGTGAGTAGAACGTGAGTGGGTGCTCATGAGTGTCAGTAGGAATGAGTATGAACGTGAATGAGTACTCTGAGTGTGAATAGGAGTGAGTATGAACGTGAGTGACTACTTTCAGTGTGAGTATGAATGTGAGTGAGTACTCTGAGCAGGAGTAGAATTGAGTATGAACGTGAGTGAGTATTGTGAGTGTGAGTAAGAGTGAGTATAAACCTGAGTGAGTATTTTGAGTGTGAGTATGAGTGAGTATGAACGTGAGTGAGTACACATGAGTGTGAGTAGATGTGAATTTGAACGTGAGTGAGTACTCATCAGTGTGAGTATCCGTGAGTATGAACGTGAGTGAGTATTCATCAGTGTGAGTAGGAATGACTCAGAGCTTGTGAGTGTGAGTAGGAGTGAGTATGAACGTGAGTGAGTACTCTGAGTGTAAGAAGGAGAGAGTATGAACGTGAGTGAGAACGTGAGTGAGTAGGAGTTTGAACATGAGTGAGTACTGATGAGTGTGAGTATTCGTTAGTATGAACGTGAGTGAGTATTCATGAGTGTGATTAGGAGTGAGTGAGAGCTCATGAATGTGAGTAGGAGTATGTACGAACGTGGGTGAGTACTCATGAGTGTGAGTAGACTTGACTGCGAAAGTGATTGAGTTGCTGTGAGTGTAAGTAGCAACGAGTAGAAACATGAGTGAGCAACTGTGAGTGTAATAAGTATTTGTAACCATCGCAGCGGCGTCCTCACTACATTAAAAATAATGGGCACTATGTCATGCAAGCTTACTGTACGTAAAAGCTTTCAGTTAGTTTGGAAACTGGGGGAGCCACCCTACATCAGATGGGGGGGGGGGGGTGCGAGGTGACCACCCAAAACTCGAGTTGAGGGTAGGCGTTCATTTTATTGTAATTTGAATTTTCTAGGCTGAATAACTTTGAACTGCCTGTCCCTATAGCTACCGTTCTTGCTGCACTTACCTCTTGCACCTTCAGTCTACGCAACACGCTGATAATATACGTAAAACAAGGTCTTGAGAAGCCCTTTAACAAAAATCGCCGTGCGAGCCGGTTCAGAAAAAAGAAATGCACTGCACAAGCGACAAAAAAAAAAAAAACGCTGAAATGGCACGCGAGAGAAAGCACATTGTGTGCGCGACGCACATTGTGCGCAGAGATTTTGCAGTTTCTATCTCTGCGTTGTCCCTCAAGTGAAGGTTGCCTTGAACGAAGACCTTAAGTGATCTCATGACATTTCAAGCACGAAGCTCTGTGCAAACTTCGCCTTCTCAGTGCCCCATTAAGAAAAAAAAAAAAAGGAAAGCTTGGAGGACGGTCGAGCTTCGCCGTCAATAGTATAGTATGCGATAGCGTAATCGGACCCTGTTTGCATCGCCGTTTCAATCTCTACCCTTGCTTCACTTTTCGGCGGCCTATTATGCCTTCAACAGTGTGCAGCAATGTGCAATAAGCGCCCAATCACCCTTGATAATTTATTCTATCATTCACATAACGCGGGCTAATACAAAAACACACATAACGCATCTCGTTAATTAACGTTTTATTCGGCTGTCCGTGATAACCCTGCATACGTACACTGCCAATGAACGTTAACCGCTCCGCAGATCCATAAATAAGGCCCCCTGCAATCGTCAGTGCCGGCACGCAGCCAACGAAGTCTCCGCGTGAGCGCGACCCACAGAGGAAGGAAAACATCTCCGAAGATGCGCACAATTTCTCGAATGCAAAACTGCCGTACGCGACGCATTCCGTCTGAAGGCGAGGCAGAGAAGGGAGGCGCCGTCTCGACGGTCGCGCCGGGCCACAGAACACCTACCAGTGGCCGGGCGGCCGGGGTGGCCGCGGCGCCCGCCTGTTTCGCTAGTGCACTCAGAAGGGGCTAGGGGCAGTGGAACGAACGAAGCGGCCGAGCCGGATGGCATGGCAACGTCTTGGGTTCTGGCGGGTAATCAGCGGCGGCCGTGTAGTATACTGAAGCTGTCGAGAGCGTCTCTATTTCGCACGCGTGCGTCGAAGCCTACGAAAGCGCGTTTTGAATGCTTGTAACACATTACTGAGATTCTAAACGATGTCTCAGCGTCTCCTACGCGTCATAGCACACAAATCAATGTGCAGGTGCGTCGTAATTGCGCTGAGTCATTGCCTGTTTGTGGAACCTACCGACCCTTAAAGAAAGCGACAATTGTTGAGCTCGATTGTTTATTGAGTAACCTGAGTACACGTAACGCAACCTCAATGTTAATATTCATCATCGGCCTGACAACTTCCACTGCAGGACAAAGGCCTCTCCCATGATCCGCCACTCAATTCGGTCCTGTGCTTGCTGCTGCCATTATGTACCCGCGAACTTCATAATCTCATCTGCCCACCTAACTTACTCTCTCCCCCTAACCCTTTTGCTTTCTCTGGAAATCCGGTCAGTTATGCTTAATGACCAGCTGTTATCCTGCCTACGCGCTACATGCCCGGCCCATGTTTCATTTTTTCTTCTTGATTTCAACTATGATATCCTTAACCCCAGTTTGTTCCCTGATCCACTCTGCTCTCTTCTCGACTCTTAAGGTTACAACCACTATTTTCCTTTCCATCGCTCTCTGCGTCGTCCTCAATTTAAGCCGAACCCTCTTTGTAAGCCTCCAGATTTCTGCTCAGTAGGTAAGTACCGGCAAGATGCAGCTGTTATATAACTTCGTCTTGAGGGAATAGTGACAATCTACCAGCCATGAGCTGAAAATGCTTGCCGAATCTTCTCCACCCCACTCTTATTCTTCTAGATACTTCAGTCTCGTGGCTCGGCTACGCAGGTACTACTTGTCCTAAGTAGACGTATATACCTTTTACAACTTCAAGTGCACTGCCACCTATCTCGAAGCGCTGTTTTCTTTCAAGGCTGTTGTTCATTACTTTCGTTTTCTGTCGGTTATTTTGTAGATTCCAAGAGAAGGAAAGCGGGAAAAGGGGAGAGAAAGTTTGGTGGGCAGATGAGATTAGGAAGTTTGCGGGTATGAAGTGGCAACAGCAAGCAAAGGACCGAGTTGACTGGCGGAACAGGAGAGAGGCCTTTGTCGTGCTGTGATGATGATGAGTATGTGAATGTAAATGTACGTGGGTGACTATGCCTGAGTATGGGTAGGCGTAAGTATTAAGGTGAATTCTTATGTGAGTGCGGAGCTGAGTGAGGGCCTATGATCTTCAGCAGGCGTGAGTATGACGGTGAGTGAGTAACTATGAGTCTTAATTGATGTGCACGAAAAATTGAAGAACAAAAAGGAGACACCTGGACACGGCGCGCTGTCTCGAGGTGTCTTCCTTTTGTACTCAAATTTTTCGCGCAACTCAGTTAAAATGAAATGCAAACTCGCGCAGCAGTCCATGTTTCTCTAAGAGTGTGAGTAGTCGTGAGTATGAACGTGAGCCATGAACAATGAGTGTGAGTAGACGTGAGTATGAGCGTGAGTGACTATGAGTAGGCGTGAGTATGAATATGAGTGAGTACTCATCAGTGTGAGTAGTCGTGAGTATGAACGTGAGTGAGGGCCTATGAGTGCTAGCTGGCGTGAGTATGAACGTGAGTGAGTACTCACAAGTGTGAGTAGTCATGAGTATGAAATGAGTGAGTACTCATCAGTGTGAGTAGTCGTGAGTATGAACGTGAGTGAGGGCCTAGAGTGTGAGTTGGCGTAAGTTTGAACGTGAGTGAGTACTCATGAGTGTGAGTAGGAGTGAGTATGAACATGAGTGAGTACTCTGAGTATGAGTATAAGTGAGTATGAACGTGAGTGAGTACTCATGAGTACGAGTAAGAGTGAGTATGAACGGGAATGAGTACTTGCAGTGTGGGTAGAAGTGAGTTTGAACGTGAGTTAGTACTCATGAGCGTGAGTAGGAGTCAGTATGAACGTGAGTGAGTACTCTGAGTGTAACAAGGAGCGAGTATGAACGTGAGTGAGTACTTTGAGTGTGAGAAGGAGTGAGTATGAACGTGAGTGAGTAGGAGTGAGTGCAAGTAGGCATGAGTATGAACGTGAGTGAGTATTTTGAGCGTGAGGAGGAGTGAGCATGAACGTGAGTGAGTACTCTGAGTGTGACAAGGACGGAGTATGAACGTTAGTGAGTACTCATGAGTGCGAGTAGGCGTGAGTATGAACGTGAGTGAGGGCCTATAAGTGGTATTAGACGTGAGTAGGAACGTGAGTGAGGGTGAAGGCTGAAAAAATTGTGGTGAGTGAGTATGAGTGAGTAGTCTCTCAAAGTGCCGACCTATGCATAAAAGGAGCTGAGCGTTAAAGCTGCGAATAACTACATAATTTTCATCCCTGAGAAAAAGTTGCACCAGCCCTTGTTTACCACGATCATCCGAATGGCCGCAGGCAAAGAATACATGGTCTGATACTGCACTGGAGGTTACAGTGGAACGTTTACATATTTATTATCCTTTAGAGACATAATAACCAGACATTGTGGTATTTAGGAACCTTAAAATGGGCCTTGTTGTACTTGAGTTAGTATTAGGCGCTCATTAGCGGCGTGTTGTGTATGGCGCAACTAATGCGGCTGCTGCAAGGAGCGGAGGTTCAGGTTTGGACTCGGGCAGAGGCCTGAGGCTTCAATGAAGCATCTCTTCGCCGGACTACGGCTTTTCCTTAGCGCTGCCACCGAACACTCGAGTCATCGAGGGGCAGCCATTCCCAACCTTATTAAACACTTTCCCTCCTTAGCTATTGTAGAAGCTAGCCAAGGAGAAGGAAATCAGCTACTTAGAAAAAGTATCAAAAGATGCCCAGCGTCCTCTGCGCTTGCTGTTGTCCTCTATTCATAATTCCATCTTCACAAACAGCTTGCAAAACAATTGAGGTCTGCCAAAATAAATCAAAATTGTGTTGTAGGAAGTCGGAAGTCTTGCTTTTCATAAAGCACTGGGGCTTCGATAAGTGAAACACACGAAGATAACTGTGACATTCGTTTGACAAGGACCCATATAGTTTATTCTCCATTCTTGCATCAGACCAGCTTTCCTGTTGCTTTGTCGAGGGCTAAGCGCACTTTCTGAAGCAGAGTACCATAACTACGGGAAAAATATCACGACACTTTACGAAAATTTACATGTGCTGTTTTCCATTGAAATTATTTGAATGTGCGAAATCTCATCAAAGCCATACCAATAGTTTTGGAGGGGGTTTTAAAAAGTGAGGTTTGTTATTTGATAACATTTTTTCATTCACTCAACTTCTCACCGATTACCGCTTAGGTTTACTAAAGTCACTTGCGCGATTAACAAAACATCAAGACAAGTTGAAAAAAAAAAAACAGGTCGAGCGGCACCAGTTTCTTTATATACTTCGCGTTTTGCAGGCCAAATGAGCACAATAAGGAGAATGAGAATGTGCTACCAGTTCTCCCCGATTTATGCTTAATGTGGGTTGTATGTCATTGGCGGCAGGTGCTACTCCTATGTCGGTCGCATTGGAGGCCAGCAAGCTCTTTCACTAGGCCGAGAATGCCTATACGAGGGCACAGTCGTCCACGAGCTGTTGCACGCAGCGGGATTCTACCATATGCACTCACGACCAGACAGGGACGAGTATCTGGATATTCTATGGAACAACATAGACCCCGGTAAGTATATTCTCTCGAGCAGACTGAGTCGTGGGTAGCGTTTTAGAAGTGAAGGTGAACCTGGGCGCAGGGCTATTGCAATTATTAAGCTCTTCAATACCCCACAAAGAACAAAAAGTGACAGTTGGTTTCAACACGAAGCAGGCCAAAAAGTATCAGTGTTGTCATTGTGACTTTACAGACCACAAAAGTTAGTCACAGATGTGCGAAAGGACGGCGAACCAGCCGTGTTTTGTTGCGGCGCTTGAAAGTAGGGTCGAAAGCGGGGCCCCCTACGTGACCCCGAGAGAAAACCAGCGCTTTGGTGGTCACGGGCAGGGGGAGGGGGGAGAATTAGCAAACGACCCATTCTTTTGTACGTGTCACAAATATTGTAGTAAAGTTCGCATCGACACTGCAGAAAGCGCAGAGGCCACTTAACTCACTAACAGCAGGCGCGCTTGGAGAAGCAGTGACTTGCTAGCTTTTTGTGTAGTGTAGTGTATCCTTCGTCTAACGTGAAGCACCAAACAGCCAAATCAAGCACGTTGTTAAATCACGAAATTGAAATCCGCACAGGTGTGGCAATTAACACCATGGTGGCTCTAGGCTGTACCTAATTACGGTAGTCTAATACGGAGCTTTGGTGTATAAGAACTAAACATTTAGCACGTGAGGGCTCAACACAGTTAACAGGAAGTTTGACTAAAGTTTCCTGCGCGTAGAAGCAAGCTTACGTTTATTCTTTCAGGAAGGCCAGTCATGAAACAAATATTTGATCTGGAAGCTTCCGGCATTGTAGAAAAATTCATTGCGATCAATTACCATCTTTCAAAAAGCGACTGCATGCCGTCTGAATGTCATAACCTACTCTGGGACTATAACAAGCCCTGTTTATTTTAAACAGAATACATCGACCACTTCGATAAGTACAGCGCCGAAGATGTTGATTCGATGCTGCCATTCGACACGAAATCGGTCATGCTGTATTCTGCGGATGCGTTCGCCCTTCATCCAGGCCTTATGACTATGAAGGTGAAAGACGGAAGTGATTTGCCTGCCGTCTACAATAAAACAGGACTCAGTGATAACGACATTCGGAGCATCGGTATGTTGTATAACTGCTCAAGGTGATGACAGCGTCAACTTACACCACACCAACACAAAGATCACTGTACTTAAGATATGCGCATAAATTGTTTTGGTAACTCCTCTTGAAAAATGTAGTCCACAATTTTTTAGTATGTGTTTGATCATTCGAACACTTACGTCGTCTTTAGCTTCCCTTGATAAGTAAACTGGCTCATGCATCTATACTCACTTTGCTCGAATAACATTGTATGAATGTTTATTTTTGCACAGCAGTTTTTCTTTGAAGAACCTAATAACCATTCTGATTCTCGGCGTATGTAAGCATAGCATGTTGTACGGCGCATGTATGATCTCGTTGTGTTTTCTTCTCACCGTTAGATCTTTCCTCTGTTTGTTAAGACTGGACACTAAAGTGATCATAATAATATGTGGGGTCTAACATCTCTAAACCATGCATCATAAGAATACGAGAGATGGTGTAGTGGAGGGCTCCGGAAGCCTTTCGATCACTTGGGGTTCATTAACGTGCACCCAAATCTGAGCACACGGGTCTACAGCATTTCCGCCTCCGCCGAAAGTGCAGCCGCCGCCGCCGGGATTCGATCCCGCGATCGGCGGGTAAGTATCTTAAGCGGGTAAGTATCCGAGTACCTTAGCCACTACACCACCGCGGCGGGGCGACACTAAAATCAAGTATGTCTATTTACAAGAAATATAATTTTCTGAGAACATAATTTTCAGCTAATATACGATAATAAATTCGTCATACAATCAGTAAAGCTCCGTCAAAAATCACTTTGTCGATCTTTGTGTCGCAACCCCAACGCAGTATATTCGTGGGAATTAGCAGATTAAAAAGGTAATAATTTTTTATTCAACCAGGTTCATTCAATAAAAGTTTTGGATACTTGGTAAACCGCTATGGCTTTTTTGAAGTGCAACAAAATTTATATTTAGCCACAGCAATTATAAATTATTTACTAGCCAACGCCATCAAAATATGATATGTCATGACGTGTTGGCGCGATAACTACAACACTATTCATGTTTTACAACGACAGCTGTATATGGCTCGGAGAAACGAAAAACCGCCTGGCAGGGGCGTCATGAGTGGTCTCCATGGGCTGTGTTATCAGTTACGTCGTTGACAGCCTCCTACTCATGCACGCCTGCCATTGGCTGCGTTTTGAGTGTCGTAAGGCATCCGTCCCGTTGCAGCCATGGCCCATAGACTAACGCGTTAGTTTTTCTTGAAATGTTTCACATGGGTACGGCGCGTAAGTTATAGAAGAGCACCGACAGCGGACCTGACAGAGCTCGCATTCGTCGGGCCGATGGTGTATATATAGTATGGGCATAAAAACAGGCTCGGCCGGCCAGTTGTCGGCAACAATGGCGTACCGATGATCCGTCAGACTCCGAAGCTGCGCTAAATCGCAAACATGAATGCAAGCGCCGGTGGCGGGTGGATCCTGCAACCACGCCGCTGACTGAGCTTGCGATCGCTCACCACAACGCGGTGTTGCGGCGTCAATGATGATTGCGGGAGCGCGTTCGCTGGGGGAACGCCCGCTTTGCGCGGGAGTTGCTCCAGCGGCACATTGGCTTTGCCTGCAACGTCTGTGACCGTATGTGGTTATAGAACAACCACTGTGATTAACGCATTGCGAAATGCATTTAACCACTTATTACACTGCAGCATGACAGTGCTCATGTAAGGAAGAGGGTGCGGCATGTGCAAAAATAAACACCGTTGTAAACCCAAGCCAAACATGTGTTTATCCTCATTTGAAAGAGCGAATATCTACTAAAGGACTACTCACCAGGTTTGACCATTTTGAGCTGACAAGCGCAAGGCGTAGACGAGGCTTTATAATCACGTCTGCCAAACTTTGCAGCGCTACGCACCGCGGAAATGGGTCAAATTTCAAGATGAAAGCTGCTCCCCCTTCCCTCTGCCGGCGCACGCGCAGAGAATGAGGGCATTACGTAGGCGTAGGAATGGCCCTACGCACACGGCAATACAGTGACGTTGGTCCTCTACGTAGACGAGTTTGCTCTGACGTTGTCAACAGTATACCACGTGGCATGGCAAAAATTATTTAACACAACATGCATAGTTTATGTATTTGTTGCTTTAAGAGATTAATAAAACATGAAATAAATAATGAGACGCAATGAAAAATTGTGCGCGCTTTTATTTTTTCCCGTGAAATACTATGAGATGCGAAGCTAATATATGCCGGCGTTTCGCATACGTTCGTGTCCCCGCGGTCAGCGCATTGAGCAGACGACTGCCGTGGAACGCTCCTACGCGTTTGCGCACTCAGCGTGCTCATCTACACTACCGCGTCCAAGCTAGCGTTTCCAAACTATTCCCGCAGAAACAGGCAGAAGACCACAAAATAACGCTGGTCAACAAAGCAACGCTGCTCGCGTTCTCGGGGGTTAGACTTGTTTGGGCACGTCATGCGCACGTCACCTCATGGTCGGGTACTGGAGATGGTGGGGAAGAGATTTGGCTTGCGAAGGCTACGCGGAGAAGCGGCAAGGGTTTCAAGTTCGCCTCCTCTCATCCTCGTTGCGCGCCGCTTCAGAACACCTGTTTTCTCCGCTCGTGATAAACTGACTCGAAAAATTTTTGTGGCAAAATTTTACTCATAGGACACCCAATTACTTCCACAGTCTAACTAAAATTCGGTATGGGGCCTGGTGAGTGGCCCTTTAAGTAATATGTGAAAGGCTTCAGTCAGTTGTTTGCTTTGCCTGATTGTGCTTAAATGGCAAGAAAGTATGCTGTTGACTCGTGGCACTGGTGAAGTATAAGTCAGTACAATGTTTGTATGAGAAGTTGCTTTAGATGCTCTTTTTGGCCACCTAATTATGTCATTCCAGTTCACGTTGCGAGCACGTAGTATGGCGTCATCAACAATGTCTTCGGCATAATTTTGTTTCGATAGAAAATGCTTCAGGCATTCTGCGTGTCTGTCCGATATCTGTATATCAGTGCATATTCTTCAATGCTTGTAGACTTGAGAGTATGAAATAACGTTTTTGCAATGCTTTGGATGGCTGCCGTTGAAATTTAGACACATCTGCTGATCAGTAGGCTTTTTGTAAAGGTTTGTAGACAGCCGGTCATTGTTGACCAAAACAGTGACGTCCAAGAAGTTAATGATAGTTTTGGAAATTCGGTGTGCAAATTTAATCGATGGGTGAAGCTTGTTGAAATCCCCTATGAAACGGAGAATAGTTCCCTTGTCGTGGTTCCATATCATAAATATCTCTTCCAAGAATCACCTATAATAGAAAGATTTCCAGGTGCACCCCTCAATAAACAGGATTTTAAACGATGCCATGAAAGTGATTGCAAAGTTTGAGGCCATTTTCGTGCCCATTGCAGTGCCAGTAACCTAAAGGAAGTGCCTGTCAATGAATTCAAAATGGTTATAACTTAGTACACTGTTCAAAAAAAAACAGTACCTCGCCAGTGATACCAGTCGATGAGTCCCACTTTACATCATCAGAAACCATAGCCATTATTTTGTCATGGTGGGGTATGCTAGTGTGCAGTTACCATACATCCGTGGTCACAAGAAAACTACCGCCTGGGATGTTGAGACGATGTTTCGCACATGAAGTGGTTTGGGTCTCTTGGATAAGATGGAAAAGTTGGTGGGATATCTTTTATCCAAGAATTGATGAATTCTGATATGTTGTCTGTTGATGTGCTGTTACTACATACAATCGAACGTCCTGGATTGCCTGCTTTGAGTATTTTTGGGAGCGAATAGAATCTACCAGAAATACAATGGACTGGTAGCGTCGCTTTTAACATTTTGCCGGTATTTTTTTGTTCCGGTAGAAATTATTTAGGCTTTCTTTTATCTCAACTTCAGATTCAGCAGTCGGGTCCGTTGGAAGTTCTTTGTAGAATTTTGTGTCTGATAGTTGTCGTTACCCTTCCTTTAAGTAGTCCGACGTGTTTAGAATTACTACTGGGGTCCCTTTATCAGCATAATTGATGGTAACTTCAGCGTTTTTTCGTAGTTCATTGAGCTACCCTTAATTCTGACTTTGAGCACGTTGTTTCTATATGGGGAATTTTTTTAATACGCTCTGATGATATTTTTTGAACAGCTGGTACCTACATATTAAGGTATTTGTCCCTCTGCTCATTTAAACACCATGCACGTCACCACCAATCACTCTCTTGTCGTCTGAACAGGTCCTCCCGTTTATAAAAGTATTCACGGAGGCGGATATTACGCGCACAGTTATCGAAGGTTTTGTTAGAGTTCTAACTGATTGAATTTGCCGGATGATGGATGAAAGGTAAAGCCTCTCGATAAATGTTGTCGCTGAGCGGGTGTAGGCACTGTATTGGACAGAATGAGGATATTTTTCTGATAAGTTTTTGACTGCTCTCGCCTATCACATGGCACTGGAGTACCGCCGTCATATTCGAGAATCAGGTTGTTCTAATTAAGATTACGCTGTCGTTTTCAGTACTATATTGTTCTTCACAGTCATGCTGTGGTGCGGGAGGTCTCTGGCATCCTTGTAGGGCCTCATTTCCATTTTCCACCTGTTATAACTCATATCTTAACGAAGATAAACTGGCCTTTGACACACACACACACACACACACACACACACACACACACACACACACACACACACACACACACACACACACACACACACACACACACACACCACACACACACACACACACACATATATATATATATATATATATATATATATATATATATATATATATATATATATATATATATATATATATATATATATATATATATATATATTGTGTGTGTATGTGCGTGGTGCCCAAACAAAAGGTTTTCACAATATACGCACTCTTTAAAGGGAGTAGTTTTGTCAATAGGGAAAAATAATGGTGTAAAAAGGGCTTTCAAGCACCCTTTTTACACTCTTCTAAGTTTGAAATTTTACCATGTAGAGTGTACTTTGCCAATTAGGGAAAGTGATAAATATGGCGAAATAGGCGATTTGCAACTACGCTGGCAGTATACGCATTTTAAGACCGTTTGAAATGGCACTTCTTGTGCGCTTAATGTTCCTTTCTTCGCGGTCCCGGTTACGCTAGCGCATTTTACTATTTAAATAGAAGCTGAAGCATGCTGCCCGTTTTCCGTCACGTACTGCCAAACACATGCATTGAGTACGCATTCCTAACTTAGCATTTTTACGTTTAGCCAGGCAACATCAACATGGAGTCTGTCTTCTTTAGTCTGGCAGACTAATTAATGAGAACGCTTGGAACCATGCTAAAGAAAGTGCTTTTGATGTTGACCGAACTTTAATTATTGATACTAGTTTGAGCAGCAGCTATGGTCCACACTTTATGAATGACATTGGAACTGTTGCTGCTTCTGTAACTGTCTTATTAGCCGAGCTCGTAAAACAAAATCTAGAAATGTCGAGGCATTCTTCAACTTATCTTAGACTCTAAAATTATTGAAGTGTTTGGGGAGTGTTCCTGCTATACAAATATAACCTTCATATACTTCGTGTACTTTCCTCGCACTATCACAACGGTTACGGCAGTTCGCGGCCACGAACGGCAAATGCGTTATAGGTGTGACATGGCATTCCCGACAAAAAGTAGCCAGCGCCAGAGTTTTCAAGGATGAAAAGCCGAGGCAATGAGATGACGAATATTGTTATGTAGCAAAAAAGACTCCTCAAATACTCGAATTTCTTAAGTGTATTATAAAAATATGTTGGCAGGAAGGGACGCGAGATGTTTACTAAAAATTGTGGTCTGAAAAGCACGCAAAACGAAAACTTTATGAAGAAAAGTGTGATTACAAGCACACATAGAATGTAAGCATATGTACGTGAACATGAGTCCAAAGCACGGTAACGCTGTGGGGCCTTTCAGAGTTGTGACATCACAATAGCAAGGCAGGGAATTCTAACGCTGACGTTTAACACACATCCATTAGCCATCCTGAGTGACACTTGAAGATGGCATTTACGGGGAGAAATGAAAAATGGGCGCACCTGTTTTATGAAAATCTCTGTGTTGTGAGACTTCTTCTCATGGTTTAAGCATACTTTCTCCGCAGAAACGTTATTGTTTGCTCCTGGGCATTGTGCTCAGCCGCTTGAACTTTTGTTTTTTTTTTTTGTAAAACACAATTCAGCGCTTCCACAGTTTCTGGATGGATTGTTTATGAATATTTCAAGCTGGCGAAGCACTTGAAATGCGTACACTTATAACCTTATTTAGTGTTTATGCATGGCCACTGCGTTTAATATACTGAGCCATAATAAAAATATCCAGCACTAAATTACACCTTCGATTTCAAACGATTATCCTTATTGTTCAAACTACTCTTGGTACACTAACAGTAATAAAAAAAACCATTAGAAGGTGTACTTATTTAAGTTTATCGCTTGCACAAGCAAACTACTGCACTGTACAAATGTGTTTAGAGGATGTACTCGACAACATTTTGTTACTTCCATACTCAAGAGTAGATTATAAGTTTTCATTAGCAGTGATTTTCTTGCTTGCATGTGACCTAATAATATTACGTCCTGTAAAGGAGCCATCCTTTTAGAAATAACTTTAACTACGAGCTTATGGAAAGACCGTGTCTCTCGGAAGCTTCTTTGGCCTCCTGGATCGTCAATACTTGCTTGTCTAGGCCTGATCTAAGCAGCGCAGTCCACCAAACACGCCCGAAGGACTTCATTGAAGGCCTCAACCCTCAATCGCAGAAATATTTGTTCATAAAATATTTGCTGTTGGCTCGTGTGGTGATCACCACTTGGTGATCACGGCCACTCCAGCTATAAAGCTTTTGGATACAGCGAAGATTTATTATCTCAAGAGGTCGAAAGTAAGAAGGAATAAATATGAAATCCCAACGGTTACTTTAAACTAAATAGCCATTGACATTATTTGGACGTTTTTTTTTCATTTAATGAAGAAATCAAGGTCGGCTGTAAAAGTTACATTTCACGAACTGCCCTCGACATTCTAGGAGCAATATCTGTTGCGATGAGGTACAGCTTAGCTTCGTTCTAGAAATTGCCGCACATCAATTTTTTAAAACAAGAAGGTGTTGCAAGCTTGAAATGTACTACAATGGCTTCCGTACAGTCGTTTTTGTCTCGGAGAAGCATCAGTAAAAAGCATACACCACCAATGGTCTACAAGAAGAAAGTTTTTGTTTATTCAAAAGAATTGCCGGATGCTCTATCACTGCCATACCGAATGCACAAGCAGAATGCAGCAGAAACGCACCTTATATATATTACAAGCATTCTCACAGTTGATTGGCGCGGTGTTGTCGTCTGGCAGCGGTGTGTAGAACTGAATCTTGACGCCGACGAGCACCGGCGAGGAATGCTTTGGTTGATCCAGTTTGACGAATGCTCTCTGGTGTAATATTTCAGGAAACTTTATGGTTGGATGAAATTACAGTAATGCGGCGTGTGCTATGTGAGAGTTCGGTAACAACGCAGCTGGGTTATTTGCCTTTCGGGTCGTGTTTGCTTGCCCCACCTCGTCAACAGTATCATGAAGGTTCATCATGCATAAGTGGTATTTTCACGCCTGGCTGATAAAACCACTGCATCACGTGCCTAGGAAAAGGCAAAGGTTGTACGGAGAGAGACGTACTCATGGGAAGCGGGTCGCCTCACCACGTTCACTGCTTGATCTAGGAGCTTTGCTTCTCACGTTCCCGAAAGTGGTGTATAGGTGTGCATACAGTGCCAAAGCAACGCATGGCGGCGCTACGACTCTAGACAGGCAGCATCATCTTTGATAGAAAAGTAGAAGAAATTCTATATCGCGCGTTTTTCTTTCCCGCCAATACACTGCCGCTCGCTTACGTGCTCGTGCAGAGAGCACGCGGTGCGTTGGAACCTGCAGTGCGGATTCATAAAGATATCTGAGCTGGATAAGCTGGACAGCGAATCGTTTGTTAATAAAAAAAGTAAAGCTAGTTATTCAAGGAGCAGACGACGAAAGACGAGGACGCTAGAGTCAAAGCGAAATGCGTTTCTCAGGTCCTCAGTGATATTACCGTGTTTGAAGTATGCCTCAAGGTAAGTTTCATTTCGCCTACATGAAGCCGCGCACTCTATCGATGTGCTGTGGTGACGTTTACGGAAACAATATAATTGTTGCTTTGATGTGGTATCTAGCAGTAGCAGCCGTGTACTGTCATATGCAAACGTTTGCGGTGTGCTAAAAAAAGAGATAAAAACTAAAGTTATAAGGTCATGGCATTAAAATGTCCGAAAAGGTTTTGAGTCATGTCCTCCGTGCCGTGGGAGTGCCACCCGCTGACGTTACCGCGAAGCGGCTAGCTGAAGTTTAACCATAACTAGTTAAGTTAAAGT